TATGATCTAATATCCTGAAAATAATAATTTTTTACATATACAAATTTTTCTTTATAAAATGAGAGAAAAATTTTGACATACCTTAGACATTACAAAAAGGATGTCAACAATAAATTACGATTCTAAAAAAAAGAGGAAAAAAATCAAATATAACAATCTTTAATAAAAATAAAGGTTTTTAATTTTTAATTTTATGATCCCGCCATAAACAGTAAATTCGAAAGCAGCCATTTTAAACTTAACTTCGATACTATCGATTTTTCGATATAAATTGAAGATGAATCATTCTCTCATTCTTTATAAAATGAGAAAAAAATTTTGACACGCCTTAGACACTACAAAAAGGATGTTAATAATAAATTACGATTCTAAAAAAAAGGGGAAAAAAATCAAATATAACAATCTTTAATAAAAATAAAGGTTTTTAATTTTTAATTTTATGATCCCGCCATAAACAGTAAATTCGAAAGCCGCCATTTTAAACTTAACTTCGATACTATCGATTTTTCAATATAAAATGAAGGTGAATCGAGATTTTGTGATCGGAAGATAGCTGGTGAGTGTTTTTCAAGTTTTTTTTAAAAATGTGTAGTGAAGAAAATAGTGATTGGATACAAGATGCAAATATAGTGATTCGCGATATAAAAAATCACGTGCATTATATATCTATTGCGAATTTACCCTCTTCGGAGTGCAAAATTTATTTTAATATTACCACTCTAGAAATGAAAGAATTTTGCGTTGAGTTGTCGGTTGCAGGATTTCAAGTAATTGGTGAAAAACATAATTCTGATGATAAAAGAGGTAAATATTCAGTTCATGAGACTCCTTATTCATTATTAGATTCCTTAAGTCCAGGGTACAGGGCTTCATTTGGAGAACAATTAATAGCCAAGCTTTCACAATTGCCAAAAAAATAATGCATTAGATCATTTAAAAAAACTTTAAAAAATGAATTTCCTTTCAGAATACTATTTTAATCGTTTTAAAATATTTATCAAAACGATTGGTATAAATATGAATTATTATTTAAAAACATTGTAGAAGGAAA